CCATGGAGTACTATTCAGCTCTAAGAAACAATGATGATATAGCACATCTTATATTTTCCTGGTTAGAGCTGGAACCCATACTACTAAGTGAAGTATCCCAAGAATGGAAAAACAAGCACCACATATACTCACCAGCAATCCGGTATTAACTGAGCAGCACCTAAGTGGACACATAGGTACTACAGTAATAGGGTATTCGGCAGGGGGCGGGGTATCGGTATATACATACATAATGAGTGAGATGTGCACCGTCTGCGGTTGATCATGCTAGTGACTCAGACTTGTGGGGGGAGGGAGGAAAGGGCATTTATTGAAACCTTAAAATCTGTACCCCCATCCTATGCCGAAATAAAAAAAAAATAAAAAAATAAAAAAAAATAAAAAGCCAAACAGAAATCCTAGAACTGAAATTGCAATATTTGACATAAAAATTTACTAGGTAGGAGTAACAGCAAATTGCACACAAGAGAATAAAAAGTAGAGTGGTCTTGAACATATTAACTTATAATAATATACATCACCTGTAAGCTAGAACAGAGAAATAAAGATTATCCAAAAATCCCAGACTGCTATACCCTTCTCCCTCCTCCCTCCTATAATATATATATGAAACAAACAAAAAAACCCCAGAGACTCAATGACTTGGAATGTGATTATATCAAGTGGTCCAACACACATGTGTTTGGAGGTTCAAAAGAAGAGGAGAGGCCGGGCGCGGTGGCTCACGCCTGTAATCCTAGCACTCTGGGAGGCCGAGGCGGGCGGATTGCTCAAGGTCAGGAGTTGGAAACCACCCTGAGCAAGAGCGAGACCCCCGTCTCTACTATAAATAGAAACAAATTAATTGGCCAACTAATATATGTAGAAAAAATTAGCCGGGCATGGTGGCGCATGCCTGTAGTCCCAGCTACTTGGGAGGCTGAGGCAGGAGGATTGATTGAGCCCAGGAGTTTGAGGTTGCTGTGAGCTAGGCTGACGCCACGGCACTCACTCTAGCCTGGGCAACAAAGCGAGACTCTGTCTCAAAAAAAATAAAAAAAAAAGAAGAGGAGAGAGATAAACGGGCAAACAAAAAAAATTTGAAGAAATATTGGTCAAAAGCTTCCCAAATTGGATAAAAATGCAACCCACAGATCTGGGAATCTCAGCAAGTTTCATTCCTGTTAAATATAACTACCACATCTAGACACATCATAGTTGAACTGTGAAAAACAAAGATTTTTTTAAAATCATAAAAGCAGCTAGAGGTGGGAAAGACATTATATAATAAGGAACAACAATGAAAATGGCAGCTGACTTCTCACCAAAAACAAAGGAAGTCAGAAAACTATGGAATATCTTTAAGATGTTGAAATGAAAAAAAATCACCAATCTAGAATTATTCAGTGAGGGAAAAAATCTTTCTAAATGAAAGAAAAATAAAAGAAGTGAAAATAAGCTGCAAGAATTTGTTGCCAGAAGATACTCACTATTAAAGAAAAAGCTAAAGGAAATTTTTAAGGCTATAAAGAAATTGTAATAGATGGACTCTCAGATCTACAAGAAGGAATGAAGAGCACTGAAGATGGTATATATAAGACTTGGAGGGGCGGGCTCGCTGCGCGTGCCTGGCGAGCCGGCGCCGGGACGTCCCCAAGGAGGCGGCTCCGGCCTGAGCAGGCGCCACCGCAGCCTCAGGGAGGGGGCCGGGCCGGAGCGGGTGGAGCAGGCTGCGGCCGCCGGAGACCTTCCCGACGCCCCCAGCTCCGGCGGGAAGTGAGCAAGGATGACTGAGGAAAGTGGGAACAAGCGAAAGACCATGGCAGAGAAGAGACAGCTGTTCATAGAAATGCGTGCTCAGAATTTTGATGTCATACGACTATCAACTTACAGAACAGCTTGCAAATTACGATTTGTGCAAAAACGATGCAACCTTCATCTTGTTGATATCTGGAACATGACTGAAGCCTTCCGAGACAATGGCCTTAATACACTGGACCATACTACCGAGATCAGTGTATCCTGCCTGGAAACTGTCATCTCATTCATCTACTGTCAGTTGAACAAGCGCCTTCCTTCTACTCACCAAATCAGTGTAGAACAGTCTATCAGCCTCCTCCTCAACTTGATGATTGCTGCATATGACAGTGAGGGCCGAGGCAAGTTGACGGTATTTTCAGTTAAAGCTATGTTAGCAACCATGTGTGGTGGAAAAATGCTGGACAAATTGAGATATGTTTTCTCCCAGATGTCAGATTCCAACGGCTTAATGATATTTAGCAAGTTTGACCAGTTTCTGAAGGAAGTTCTGAAGCTCTCAACAGCTGTCTTTGAAGGGCCATCTTTTGGTTACACAGAGCACTCAGTCTGCACCTGTTTTCCACAGCAGAAAAAGATAATGCTAAATATGTTTTTAGACACAATGATGGCCGACCCTCCTCCCCAGTGCCTTTTGTCTGGCTACCTCTCATGCACAGGCTTGCCCATGTTGAGAATGTCTGCTATCCTGTGGAGTGCTCCTGTTGCCGGTGTGAGAGTATGATGGGTTTCCGGTACCGATGCCGGCAGAGCCACAACTATCAGCTCTGCCAGAATTGCTCTTGGCGTGGTCATGCCAGTGGCCCTCACAGCAACCAGCACCAGATGAAGGAGCATTCCTCTTGGAAATCCCCTGCAAAGAAGCTGAGCCATGCAATTAGTAAGTCTTTGGGGTGTGTACCCACGAGAGAACCCCCGCATCCTGTTTTTCCTGAGCAACCAGAGAAACCACTTGACCTTGCACATATAGTTCCTCCTCGTCCTCTGACTAATATGAATGACACCATGGTTCGCCACATGTCCTCTGGAGTGCCCACTCCCACCAAGAGGTTACAGTATAGCCAGGATATACCCAGTCACTTAGTCGATGAGCATGCGCTGATAGCCTCCTATGTGGCCTGTCTGCAGCACTGTGCAAGTGTTCTGGATAGTCCTAGCCGACTGGATGAGGAACACCGGCTTATAGCTCGCTATGCTGCCCGGCTGGCTGCAGAAGCAGGAAACATGGCTCGTCCTCCCACTGACTTGAGCTTTAACTTTGATGCCAACAAACAACAAAGACAGCTTATTGCAGAACTGGAAAACAAAAACAGAGAGATCCTGCAGGAGATTCAGCGCCTCCGCCTGGAACATGAGCAGGCCTCCCAGCCCACTCCTAAGAAGGCCCAGCAGAACCCCACGCTGCTGGCAGAGCTGCGGCTGCTGAGACAAAGGAAGGACGAACTGGAGCAGAGGATGTCAGCATTGCAGGAGAGCTGGCGGGAGCTGATGGTGCAACTGGAAGGGCTGATGAAGCTACTGAAGGCTCAAGCCGCAGGGTCCCCACGTACATCTCCCACTCACGGAGGTGGCCGTCCGATGCCTATGCTGGTGTGCTCGACGTCGGCCGGCTCCACGCCCACCCACTGTCCACAGGACGCGCTCAGCCGGAGTTGGGGGAGACGTGCAGGAGGCCTTTGCCCAAGGTACGAGGAGGAACCTCCACGATGACCTGCTGGTGGCTGCTGACTCCATCACCAACACCATGTCATCCCTGGTGAAGGAGCTCCATTCAGGTTAGCCGAGGAGCCCAGACAGAGGAAGCTTGGGCACAGAGGACGAGGAGCAAGCTGGCACCAACCTGATGAAGGCAAGGTCTTCCCCCAGAGGCACATTCCTATCCTTCTTTCCGCTGCACACCTGGACCAGGCTCGCAGGCTGCTAGATGCGTCACTCCACCCGCCAGGGAGAAGGGAGCCAGAGCGGTGGGAAGGTGGGGGACTGCGAAGCGCAGCTGGTGGGCCTTCCCCTGTAGCCCTGCATGTACCAGCATCTCCATCACCCCCCTCAGGGCGTGGTCTCACTTGTGCATCAGGAGCTTACCAGGAGGTTGAAAAGAGAAAAGAAAAATTACAAAAAAAAAAAGACAATATATAAAACTTATTTTCTTCCTTTTCTTGAATTTATTAAAAGCCTAAAAATAATGATAACATACTATAAGGTTTGTAGCATATATAAAGTAAAACATGGCAATAGTTGCATAAAAATGAGAAGAATTATAAATGGAATTGAACTGTTATAAGGTTCTTACATTCTATGTTAGGAGGTATTACATCAAGTCAGAGTAGTTTGTTAAGTTAAGGATGCATACTGTAACCTCAAGAACAATAACTTGCACCTTAAAAGTAGAGATGTGATTTAAACATATTAACAGGTTAAAATTATTAAATAAAATGATGGAGGGGACTTCCAGATATGATGAAGGAAAGAGAGCAATAAATTCTACCCCCCTCCAAAAAAATACAAAACCAGACAAAATTGTCAAAAACAAGCATTTCAGGACTCTGAAAATCAACCAAGTCAAACAACAAATTGAGAAGCATTTATTCATGAAACTGCTAGAACTCAGGTGAGAATCACAAGTCTCTGGCTGTTTTACCAAGACTGCTCCCGCACCACTCTAACTCAGCTGATAGCAATTTTTCCAGGCAGGGCTGGCCATGAAAAACAGCAACTTCACTGTTAAAGAGGGCTGAATTGATTGGCAGAAAAAATCAAAACTCATGCTTATGGTTTATGTCAGTAAAAGTAGCGAACTCAGTAGTGTTTAGGCTCTACTCACCTGAGGTTACAGTTCCAATGAGGCGAACAGGGCACCTCTCAAAAATGTAAGGAGAAGATACTGGGAATGAGACAGCTACAGAATGCTTAGCTAAGGTCTCTATGCACTCTTGGCTGGCTGGAGAACTACAGGTGTGTGCAGAAGAAACATGAGAGGACCTAGTAGAAAGTAAAAACCAAGACAGACTTGAAAGCTGTGTAATTTGGATGTGCTCTCAACACAAACACAGTTTCATTAGCAGAGGATGGAAGCCTTTTGAACTCAGAATATTTGAGTGAAAACTATGCCCAGTCACTAACCGATCACTAAGCTATGCAAACACAAGAACAACTTCTGGGATCTGAGATTTAAAAATAAGAAGTTTTGAAAACTGAGTAAAGACAACAAAAACTACAAATGGTGAAAGATACACATTCCACAGATGGGGTCCAAGCAAGCTAATAAAACAACAATTCTTAGGGAAAAAATAAGAATATGAATATGTTACATTTTGATAGCTGAAATATTATAAGACATGCAAAGAAATAGGAAAGTATAATCCAGTCTCATAAAAGAATGCAGTTAATGGAAGCTGACTGTAAGTAGAACTGATGTTGAATTTACCAGAAAAAGATTTAAAAGTATCTATAAAGAATGGTTAAAGAATGAAAGAAAATGATTTTTAAAGAATTAAAGTACAATCAAATCACAGAGACATAACAGAGACTATCAACAAAGAAATATAAACTATAATTTCTTTGTTGCTATTGTGAAGGGAATTGAGTCTTTGATTTGGTTCTCAATTTGATTGTTGTTGGCGTACATGAATGCCTCTGATTTCTGTGTATTGATTTTATATCCTGACACTTTACTAAATTTATTTATCAGTTCCAGGAGTTTCTTGGTTGAATCTTTGGAGTTTTCTAGATATAATATCATATCATCAGCAAACAGTGAAAGTTTGATCTCTTCTGCCTCTATTTTGATGCCTTTAATTCCACTTTCCTGTCTGATTGCTATAGCCAAGACTTCCAGGACTATGTTGAACAGAAGTGGAGATAGTGGGCAGCCTTGTGTGGTTCCAGTTCTAAGTGAGAATGCTCTCAATTTTTCCCCATTTAGTATGATGTTGGCTATGGATCTGTCATATATGGCTTGAATCATTTTTAGATATGTTCCTTCTATGCCTATTTTATTAAGTGTTCATAACATGAAGGGGTGTTGAATTTTGTTCTGCATCTATTGAAAGAATCATGTGGTCTTTGTTTTTGCTTCTGTTTATGTGGTGAATTGCATTTATAGATTTTCGTATGTTGAACCATCCCTGAATATACTTGACCAAGGAGGTAAAAGACTTCTACAGGGAGAACTATGAAACACTGAAGAAGGAAATAGCAGAGGATGTAAACAGATGGTAATCCATACCATGCTCGTGGGTCGGCAAACTCAATATCATTAAAATGTCTATACTACCCAAACTCATCTACAGATTCAATGCAATACATTCTCCACAGATATAGAAAAAATAATTTTAAGCTTCATATGGAATTAGAGAAGACCCCGAATATCAAAAGCAATTCTAGGCAACAAAAACAAAATGGGAGATATCAATATGCAAGATATCAAACTATACTACAAAGCTGCAGTAATTAAAACAATCTGATATTGGCACAAAAATAGAAACATTGACCGGTGAAACATATCTGAGAATCCTGATATAAAACCATCCTCATATAGCGATCTAATCTTTGACAAAGGAGACAAAAACATACGCTGGAGAAGAGAATCCCTTTTCAATAAGTGGTGCTGGGAAAACTGGATGGCCACTTGTAGAAGGCTAAAACAGGACCCACACCTTTCACCTCTCACAAAAATCAACTCACGCTGGATAACAGACTTAAACCTAAGGTATGAAACTATTAGAATTCTGGAGGAAAATGTTGGAAACACTCTCCTAGACATTGGCCTAGGCAAAGAGTTTATGAAGAA